GACCATACATTTTAGGCATGAACTATATACCAATATATATTCCTATACAATTCCTCTCACATCCTGGTGTTAACAGTGGCTCATGCTCGTCTGCTAGCCATTATACAGGCCTTCTGGGACTCATACAAGCGCACGGAAAATACATACAAACTACTTGAGATCCAACGAGACCTGTTTGGCTTGGCCGCCAACCCCTTTGATTTCGACGCTGGTGTACCTGGCCCAAGCGATGCCCGAAAAGTGTCACCTGAAACCATGGAAAATGACAAGACTTTCACCGTAACCGAACAGGATTACATGATGAAGACCCAAAACGAACGTCTCCGAGACCAACGAGGCTTAATTCACAATTTAGTTGGACCAGACGCCGATCCCACAGGTCCATTAGCTCGACCCGGACGACAGTTTATTAGAGAGGGCTGGCTGCAAAAGTATAGCAAAAAGGGCTACCAACAAAGACTATTCTTCCTCTTTTCCGACCAATTAGTCTATGCAAGTCGAATGGCCACACCACAACTTCAATTCAAGGTAAAGGAATGTGGCGTAATCCATATCCTACATCTAAGCTTGGAATAGTTTTTAAGTTTACATGTTAACAATTGTGATCTAACAGTTAGTTGCATTTTTATGTATAGTGAGTATCTAATACAAATGTCCAGGAATGCACATATTTTTAAGCTTTGGTCAACCCTAACCGAACTTTTTATGATTAGGCCATATTTTGCATTAATAGCTCTCAATAATTAAGGTAATTAACCTCATTTCAGAGAATTCATATTTCAGGAGAGCAGCATGTGTAAGCATTTACATGATTAGCTACTTGAATAGTGTTGTAATTGTATTAATTTCGATTTATTACATTGCATCATATATATTTATTTACTTTTTATGCCCACCTCTAAAGCTAGATTTTTAAAAGAATTATCGTGCCACTTTTACTCATTGTGTGAAAATTTGGCTCTATTTGCTCGGAAGGAATGAGCACTCAAGCGGAGCTAGATCATTTGGTCTAATACTGGAATTTTTCCATGATGATATGAGTAAGCATCATGTTTTCATTGAATTTCACATAATCTTGCTTCCTAAAAGGTATTCTCACCCGGGATGGAGTGGACTGCATTTTCTACCTTGCCCATGCCTCATAAACACCCTCCTGCGAGGCTCGAACCCAAATAGTGCAGCGTGTAGTCTCGGCACGTTAACAGCTACGCCACACTGCCACGAATGCCCTTGGGTTACAGGGCAGAAGTGAATCGGATGGAAGGCCAGGCC